TCTTCGTGGAGAAAATCGCGAAATACTGAGACGAGGTCGAAAAAGCTAAAAACTATTCTTTTTCAGACAATGGTTCACAATTTTTTCCCTTTACGTTTTTACTTATTCTCATTAATATTTTCAAATTTTACGTTGAAAACTGATTCTAGAAAGGTCTCTTTCAATCACGTTTGGTCAAAACTGAAATTTCGGCTGAGCTCAGAACTGGCTAAGCTCAGCGATCGATACTCTCAGCTTGCAGACCTATCTAGTTTTTTGGGTTAAGGGATAAGTCCCCCATTCACATACTGTTAGATAGCCGAAATGATAAGCTTTAAAAGTATGGAGAACTTTTTTTAAAATTCCTTTCCATTGCTGAGAAAATTCATTTTTTCTGAATAAGATGCGAAAAATTCTCAATTGTGCCTGTAATTCTCAGCTTTCTTTATCAGAACTCAACTTTTAAGCAATAAAAACATCATATCCGGAATCAGGATCAAAAATTGAGTCCGATGATGTGTATTTCGAAGCTTTTAGCTGATTTTCATTTTTTGGTGAAAATCTCGATCGTTTTTCAACACGAAAATTCGACAAAAGATGAAAATCAGCTAAAAGAAAGGTGTTGTAGAGGTGGAAGATGTGTCATTTTAGTCAGAAATTTCCGGGCTATAATCATGTCTTATTAAGAAAGGTTTTGGTTACCTTTAGATCTTCTGAAAAACTGGTTTTCCAGCAAACCTTAGGCTTCTAATTTTCTGTCTAGCTTAGCGCTTCTAATTTTGCATGATCATTGTTCTCACGGAATGCTAATCACCGAGAAAATTTAGGCCTCTTTTCCTGGATGGTTCGCGAAATATAGCATTTCATTTCTTTTCCATAAAATGCTAATAACTCCTGACAGCTTGATAAACAGTTTATGCTCCCGGTAATACAATCACGAAAGTGAGATTAAGTAGTGCTTTTCTAAAACTGATTTTATAACTTGGAATGATAGGATTTTACCTTCGTATTCTCACTTTTTGATCACAGAAACCAATCAAAACCTTTTAGGGTAAACTTAAAAACTGTCTTTAGTCACCACAGCACCAAAAGCACGCGCATGCGATCTCGGTATTCCCTTCAATGGACAAACAGGAAAGCATAATACTATAACAGATGTATCAGGTATAGAAACTGATCATACAACATTGATAGATGAAAAGGGAAAAGAAGCAATTCGTGCAGGTGTTACTGTCGTTTTTCCAAAAGGAAAAAATTCTCTAGATCGAGTGTTCGCAGCATGGTTCACGTTAAATGGAAATGGTGAAATGACTGATACTACGTGGATTGATGAATCAGGATTGTCAGGTTCGCCTATTTTGATCACCAACACAAACAGCGTAGGTACAGTTCATGACGCGGTTGTTAAATGGTATATCGATAAGAGCTCAGATGACGACTGGGATTTGGCGGTGGTAGCTAAAACATGGGATGGATACTTTAATGATGTTAACGGGTTTCATGTAAAAAAGGAGCATGTTTTTGAAGCAATGAATAGTGCTAAATCTGACTCGGGGGTTGAAGGAAATGTCGGAGGTGGTACGGGCATGGTGATGCATGATTTCAAAGGAGGCATTGGCACTTCATCAGGCAAGGTAGAGGGTTGATACACTGTTGGTGTGTTGGTACAAGGCAATTATGGAATACGCTCACAACCGACAATTGCTGGAATACGGGTTGGACGAGAAATACTCAATGTAATGCCTGAGACGAGGGGAAAAAAGGATGAAGATCAAGGACCAATTATTGTTACAGTGCCGCGCATGCACCGTTATTGCCTCGCCAACTTAAGCGTCTGACGAAGCGTGCATCATTGGGCATTGGAGTGATGGGCGGTCGTTGAGCAAATCCGTCCGGTGATATATTTTTGGCATTTTCCACAGCTAATCAACAAGCGGGGAAAACAAATGGTTTAGCTAATTTGGGTATGTTACCGAACGAACAGATAGATCTTCTATTTAACGCTATTATCGAAGCCACGGAAGAATCGATAGTGAATGCAATGATTGCAGCAGAAACAATGGAAGGTATTAATGGAAACAAAGTTTACGCAATACCTCACGATCGATTGATAACAATTCTTAAGAAGTACAATCGCATAAACTAACTCTTTTTTTGTGTAAATTATTATAGAATCCGACGCAATTAGTACGTTATGATAATCGTGGTTCTACGACTAACGAGGTAGGCTCTGGGACCATTTGCTATCAACATTTGTCAAGTAGGTAAAATGCGCCACAAATTCAACACCATTCGAAAATATATCTATGCTTCCTAAAATAGAATTGAGGTATTTCCAGTTAGGCAAAGTAATG